TATATATATATATATATATATATACACACATACATACATACATACATACATACATACATACATACATATACATATACAATGTATTAAGTGTTTTATATACACATTGTATAAATTTTGCATATAAGCGTATCCTGTATTATTATAAAAATTATATATAAACTGTTATAAAATGTATAAAAATTATATATATACGACTACATTGTATTTATTTTGTATATAAAGTATATCCTATATATTTTAGTGTATCCCTAATGTATCGTTAGTTTATATAGATGGCTTTGACTTTTTTGCAGCGACCTTATAAATGTATATATATAAGGTATATATATTATATAATAGGTGTATATGTACAATTATACAATTTATATACACTGTTATACAATGTAAATGTTGTTGGTGGAATGTTGGAGGTTGGGGCTTCTTGATTCTTTTGGGATGAATTTATGCGCATTTCCTAGGAAGAAGTAAAGGGTGAAGTGTATTTGTGCAGGTGGTTGTTGCTGCTATCTTCTTCTTCTTCTTCTAAGGTCTTTGTATAGAGATGTATAATTAGTGTATTCCATGTACAATAAATGTATATTAGTTGTATCTTTATGTATAATCTAGGGGTGTACGTGGATCGGATTGATTCGGTTTTTATCAAAATCAAACCAAACCAACTATATCGGTTTGAATTGGTTCGGTTTTGTCGGGTTTTTCGGATTTTCGGATTTTTTTGTTATATGAATATTATTTCAATCTTACTTTGTTAAAATTATAGATAAAGCTTTGATAAGTGAATATATGTTTAGCAAGTATGGAAAAAATTTACAAACATATGATCTATTAAAATATTCTAATGGGTGAACTTTTTTAGTAACACATGATAGTTATTTTCTTAGTCGTCTAACAATAATTTTTCGTTAATTTACGGTTTCAAGGTTAATACATGAGAGTATCCCAAATATTTTTACATTTTCTAAAAAAAATTCACTATAAAGTCTTAAAAATATAAATAAAATTTATATATTTATATGTCGGTTTGGTTCGAATTTTTTTACCCAATACCAAACCAAGTCAAACCAAACCTAGTCGGATTTTTTAATCGGTTTGGTTTTTCGGTTTGGTGTGGTTTTCCGGTTCGGTTTGAACACCCCTAGTATAATCCATGTATATATATAAACTTTGAGTTTTTATACAGTATATATATTATACGATATATACACACACACTGATTATACAATTTCAACTATGAGAAATTTTTCAGTCTTTGGGTTATTTTTGGTGAGCAAAAAAAAAAAAAGAGATGAAATTATATATACACTAATACATTGTATAAATTTGTATATAAAGTGTATCCTGTATTTTTTGGTGTAGCCTTAATAGTGTATTCTAAGCGTTTTAGAGTATCCAATATATATATATATATATATATATATATTGTTCTACGATGTATTAAAATTGTATATATTATTCTGTAATGCATAAAATATATATATATTATTTTATGATGTATAAAAAGTGTATATACATTTTATAATAGTGTAAATGTGTATATTGTGTGTACAACGTATACATCACCTTCTTTTTTCTTCTTCTTATATCATGAGTATTTTTGGGGCATTTGCATCTATACCCACTTTTTGGGGTCACGTTTTAACTTATACCCACTTTGCAAGAAAATATTTGCAAGCGTACTCACTTTTTGCGTAACTTCAAGCATACGAGTCTGAAATAGCAAAAACTTTTTGCCAGAAGTGTAGCAAAACTTCATATATTTTTGCATGAATTTTGGCCTGACTTGCAAAGGCAATCACGCAAAACTTCAGGTCATAGTGCAAATGGCAAACTTCAGTTCAATAAAACAACATGTGTTGGCTGAAGTTTTTGTTTGTAATTGCTGAATTTCAGCATTCTAGTAGCTGAAGCTTTGTTCTATATTTGCTGAACTTCAGCATGTTTTAGTTGAAGCTTTGTTCTATTTGTGATGAACTTCAGGGTTGAAGTTTGTTTTGTATTTGCTGAACTTCAGCATGTTTTAGCTGAAGCTTTGTTCTATTTGTGATGAACTTCAGGGTTGAAGTTTGTTTTGTATTTGCTGAACTTCAGCATGTTTTAGCTGAAGCTTTGTTCTATTTGTGATGAACTTCAGGGTTGAAGTTTGTTTTGTATTTGCTGAACTTCAGCATGTTTTAGCTGAAGCTTTGTTCTATTTGTGATGAACTTCAGGGTTGAAGTTTGTTTTGTATTTGCTGAACTTCAGTACTCTAGGAGCTGAAGTTTTTGTTTATATTTGCTAAACTTTAGCATTCTTATAGCTGAAGTTCTAAACAACAATGAATTTAATAGATCATAATTAGCAGCGATTGATGCTGTTCATTTCAAAGATTAAAAAAGAATGAAAAATATTTTCGACATGAAAACAAGTTACTACATATAAATTAGAACCAAAAACCAATGTGCCTATAAAGCTAAAAAATCTAAGAGGTTAAATTATTGTGAATATGACCAAACTGAACATAATGGGACAAACAGATATATATATGAATCATCAAGCTAGAACGCATAACAATATCTCAATCTTCAGCATTCAGAAAACGAAGGAGGAGAAGGAGGAGGAGAAATAAGTCTGAAGTTGTTTAAACAGTGGGTACAAGTTAAAACTTTAAAAAAAAGTGGATATAGGTTAAATGGGGGCGACCAATTAGGACGCCCCGTGCAATTCTTACAGTAATTTTGTTTATGCAATATCATTTTTTTTAGATTAGATCAATAAAAAATTTAGGCTCTTAGTAAAAGATAAAAAGGTTATAATTTATGTGTATTAGGAAAAGTTTGAAAGTTGCAAAGGTGAAAGTGCTCAAATTTTAACCCCCCGTCCCTCCAAAAAAAAGAAAGAAATCCTAAACATAAAAGGAGATGAAAATGTTCAAAACTTAAAAAAATTAATGATTTTCCGTGTGTCATAACAAACAAACAAAATCCTAAAACCTAAAAGAAACTTTTTTATGGACGTAAAAGGAATTGAAGAAAAAACTATGAACCCGTTTGGACATAAGAAATTTTTTCCTATAAGTAGCCATCCCTTTCCCACTCGCACTCGGAACTGGGAAGTTGATCAGGAATAAAACCCTATGCTTTTTCTCTCTATTTTTCTATCTCTCCCACAATTCGCTTATACCCGTTTGATTGGGTAGAAATCTTGGTCTGAAGTCTCTGTTTATCAATCGAGCAATGGTGTGGTGTAGTAACTGTGAAGAGAACAGGGAACCCGCGACTCTGGATGGTAAAATATGTTGTTCCTATTGTGGAAAAGTTCTTTTCGAAGATAATATGTCAACTGAGCCAACTTTCTTTAAGAATGCTGCTGGACAGAGCCAATTGTCAGGAAAACTTGTGCGCTCTGTCCAAAGTGATTATTCAGTTTCACGTCAAAGAGCAATAGATGAAGCATATAATGATATAGAGAGTATGGGATATGCATTAGGAATTGACGGTGGTGAATCAATATATAGTCCGGCGTCGCGTCTTTATACGATAGCACTTGAGAGGAATTTCACAAGGGGCCGTAGGAAAGAGCAAGTTGAGGCTGCTTGTCTTTATATTACATGTAGGCATAACAATAAGCCATTCCTACTCATTGATTTTTCTGAGTACTTGAGGATAAATGTGTATGTTTTAGGTGCTGTTTTCCTACAGCTTTGCAAACTTCTAAGCCTTGAACATGATCCGATTGTTCAAAAACCTGTGGATCCTAGCCTTTTCATTCATCGATTCACTGATCGTTTATTCAGGGGAAGGAAGTGTTGAGTTTTGGATTGTTGAGTTTTTGTTTAAGATGAAATAGTCTTAAAATGAGAATGAATGGGAAATGNNCATGGCCAAGTGCTCCTCCCACCAAGCAAGTGTTCATTCCACCATGTAAGTGCTTCCTCCATGATATCCTAATGCTTGTTCCACCATGGAGGGGGCAGATTTCTCTCACATGACTACTATAAATAGAGCAGAAGTTGTAGAGAAAGAAGAACACACCAGAAAAAAACACTCAAAACACTCAGTATACAATTGATATACACTCTGTATATAATTGATATACACTATGTATACACTCAAACTACACTTTGTATACACTGTGTATACACTGGAAAAACGAATTGCAATCTGATATCCTCTTCGGTAAGAATTCAACATCGGCTATACATTGCATTCCTTCCTCTCAGAATTTCCATTCGACTTCTGAGTTCTTCTCCCTTGTTCTGCATTGTTTTAAAACTACAAAAAAGCAACTGTAAGTGTGATTTGCTGCCGAACTTTGCGTTTGCTGAAATATTGGGGTTTGAAGTACCGCTACACCAGTGTGTAATTCGTTCTATCCTGAGAGGAAATAATCCATAACCTTAGGTACTAGGAGGGGATTAAATTCCTTAAGGAAACACTGTGAATTCAGTGGGCTCGAATTAATTTTTGTTTCAGTTATATCATTTATATTTACGTATGTTACTGCTGTAGGTAGCTGATAAAGAGGATAATATATATCTAAGAGTGGAAAAGTTAAAACTTGATCTTCCATCATTCCATATTTATACCAGATAAGAAGTACTATACAGGAAATAACAACAACAGGAAGACGAATATATCTAGAACTGCACTTCACATTGTGGCAAGCATGAAGCGAGATTGGATGCAGACGGGGAGAAAGCCAAGTGGAGTATGTGGAGCTGCACTTTATATTGCTGCTCTTTCAGATGGACTGAGTTGTTCTAAATCAGAAATTATCAAAGTCGTGCATATTTGTGAAGCAACATTGACAAAGCGATTGATTGAATTTGAAAACACAGAATCTGGGAGCTTAACGATTGATGAGTTAAATACAAGAGCTCAGGAGCTTGAGAAAGAAGAGAGGCTAACCCTGCAACTTTATTCCAGGTCAAAAGGATCTGGGATCACAGAAGTGCTATGTGAAAACAAGAAAAGTGTGGAGCTGCCCTTTGCCCATGGTCTATGTGAAAGTTGTTACATTGATTTTGTAAAACTTTCAGGTGGGATTGATGGAGGATCTGAACCTCCCGCCTTCCAACGCGCTGAGAAAGAAAGATTAATGGCAAAGGAAGCTGCTGAAGACCCAAATTTTCCCATGTCCAATCAGGTGGAGAACAATGGCCGCGAGTATTTGGAGCCTGAAAAGGGAGAACAAGTGCAGATATCAGGCTCTGAGCATAATGCGAGTTGTGATACATTACATGGCACGGAATGTATGGGTCCTGATAAACTGATGAATCAAGTAATATTTTGGATATCGATGATGTAGAGGTTGACGGTTATCTTCTAAATCAGGAGGAGAAGCATTACAAAGAGATCATTTGGGTAAAAATGAACTGGGAATATGAGGAACAAGCAGCTAAGGAAGCAGCTGCATTAGCTGCACAGAAGGCTTACGAGGAGTCCATTTTAGCTAACTGTTCCGAAGATGTGCAAGCTGCACAGAAGCTTGCTACTGATGCTGCCGCCGCTGTTGCAAAATCAAGAAAGGAAAAACGAGAGAAAAGGGCTGCAGAACTGAAAAACTCCGGTCCTGCTCAAACCGCTGCAGAAGCAACGAAGCAAATGTTAACTAAAAAAAGGCTGAGCTCTAAGATTAACTATGATTTGCTAGAGAAGCTTTTCGATGAAACTGCAATACCTGAGAATCCAAAAAAGGTCAGGAAGGTGGATGATTCAACGGATGATAACGTGGTAAAGATCAGCAAAATTGATCCGGAAGTAGAAGAGACTAATGAAGAAGCATTTGGCGAGCATCTGCAGTATGATGGAGATGACGGAGGATATGACTATGATCAACAATATGATTATGATGAGTATTGAATTAATCTGCATTCAATATGACTGCTGTCCCCTTAGAAATAGACCAACAATTCCCCTTCACTTATATATTAGGAATTGTTGGTCCTGGTAGCTAAATGCTTCTCAAGTTATATTTTTTTTCTTCTAATTATAATTGATTAATTTATTTCCAGGGAACACTTTCAAATTTCAATACTGCCATGTTTAAAGTGCTCTACAGTTTTAGAGCCATCAAAATGGGCACTAATTAATTGGTTTAAGTAATTACACATCTATATTGGTATGCAATAATCCAGTCGTCATTTCTACAGTATGTACTTTATAAATTTCCTAACAATAGATGATTAATTACTCATATAGTATAATACACTATCAAAACAGAACAACCAAATTTATTCCTCAAACTCACACTTATTGAAAGAAAGAAGATAATTACAAACATTTATACGAATTAAAAACCCTGAAGCGCCTGTTATATATCAGAAATTCACAGTGCATTACCACAGAAGGGGCAGAATCGGAATTCGCCATCCACTTCCCGGCGACAGAACTGACACCTAAGAACTTCCGGGACATCGGCCATGGACGACGGTGGTCGCGACGGAGGAGTTAGAGATTGAGGGAAGAAAAGATTGCAGTGGTTGCAGTACATCACCGGCTCTTTCCCTGGCCATCTCCAAACCGGAACAAAGAAGAGCTTCAGAACCTTCTCGTAGTCGACGAGGTCAGCACGTGATCCGCATGCTATACACCTCCCTACTCCGCTCTTCAATACCTGTCTCGCCTGCTGCTCTAGCCCTCCTACGAAGAAGAGGAACATTATTTTTTGTCTCTGATAACTTGTTCGTTTGCGATTTGCTGAATGGCTTTTTGGTATGAATTGAAGTTTTTGAAGAGGGAGAAGAGAGTCGTAGAGAGCTGAAGAAAAGTGGAGTAAAGTTTCCGGAGGATTCCGGTTGGCTTGAGAATCAAGCAATAAAATAAGTACTTTTCTTCAAAAGCTTTTCTCAAAAGTATTTTTGGTGAGAAACAGCTTGTGTTTGACTAATTAGTTTAAAAAGCATTTCTGAGTAGTAATTAGTATTTGGCCAAGCTTTAAAAAACTGCTTCTAAGTGTATTTTTCTCAAAAGTGTTTCTCAAAAAAGTACTTTCGAAGAGAAACTACTTTTTTCTGCTTTTCCTCAAAAGCACTTATTTTCCTCCCAGAAGCCTGGCCAAATACCTCAAATTGAGGCCAAAAGTGCTTTTGGCCAAAGGAAAAACAGTTTTGGCCAAAAATAAACTTGGCCAAACAGGCTATATTTCGGGGATCGTTCTTGGGTCATACTTAAGTCCAGCTCATTAGTATACCCGGACCTTTAGCCCATTACATGTGCAATAACAAGGATAGTGTGATGATAATTTATTTACACTAAGTGACCATTTTTGTGACCTTGAATTTAGAAGTTGGCTATTTGAAGATATTAGATACACGGTCTGCATATTAATTTTGAATGAATGGGTAGTTCTGAATTTTCCTTTGAATAAATGATTTAGATTTGTCATCCATTAATGTTCGGGGTCGGATCTAGCCTTGCCGTTACAAAAATGGGAAACTTACACAAATGTTCCAAATAAGTCTTAACTTACCAACCTCTAGCCATTGGTTATAGATTTACCAAAACTAGCCAAACACATATAAAAATTGAAAAAACCAAATAAATAAGGTTCTTTCTCTTAAAGCAACACATGCAAAAATCTCCTTCCATATTTTTAAGTATGATTAGCAACATTAGATGTAAGACGAAAAGGAAATTTCATGGATGAGATAACAAATAAGGTGATGAAATACAAAAAAAATAAATACAATATTCCAAAAATCTAAGGAAAAAAGAAACTTTTTCGATGGGTATAGTTGAAATTCATTGAAAACATATAGATAAGTCAATATACAAAATTTGAGGAAGATTAGAGGTGATTTGGGCTGGTTTTGTATCAAAATTCGTAATTAAATCGAGTTTAAAAAATTCTTCCGCGACACATGTATCAAACATGTATGTATTTCACACACAGGTATACATGGATATACATGTGATACATATGTGATACACAAATGATACATAGTGTGATACACATCATTTTTTTATGTTCAGTTTTTACTTCGAATTTTCAATTCAAATCACCTCAAAACTTCACCAAATCATCCCAAAACTGAGATTCAAGCTCCTTAAGATGTACCCAATCTATTCTAATGACACTCATTCAAAAGAAAGCAAAAATTTGACATTTTTTTGTTACAAATAGCTAATTGGCTAATATTAGTAATATTTTATGACTTGACCAATTTTTGTAATGAGCTATTTATATTATGGACATGATAGTTTTCCTACAAATATGAGCTAGATTTGTCTTTATTGACTAACAATAAAAGCTTTCTAACACGTGAGTCTTTTACAAAAGAGAAAAATGATCAAATTTGCCCTTGAACTATACGAAATTAGGGATGGCAATAGGGCGGGGCGGGGCGGGTTCAACTTAAACCTGCAATGACTCAACCCGCCCCGCATAAGTTTTTTCTTCTTCTATTTATCCTTTTTCATTTCTATTGATTAGTCACTTGTTTTAATAACTCAGTTATCTATTTTTTACTTAACATGTTGCACCAAAAGTTATTCTATTTATAAAATAGTTTAGGACTAAATTTTTTATGATATTTATAAAATTTCACTTATTGATTAATCTATAAGGTAAAACTTTTACAATTTGACAACTAAACTTCATGATCTGCAAAATATTAGCACATTCGGATGGAAAAAATATACAACATCCCGAATAGATAAATGGGCAGTTTTAGTTATAAATAAGGTATTATAATATTGAAATAAGATTATAATTTCAATAAATTATTACGTTTAGTGCTGATAAACTATGAACTAATAGTAACAAATGATTAACATAATTTATAAGCTGATGAACTTTCAAGAATGTGATTATTCCTAATTAAAAAATATTACTAGAAATCTAGAATCAAACACATAATCTGGTAAATGTGTTCCGGCAAAAAAAAAACAAAAAAAAATAGAAAAAGCAACGATATTATTTTCCTATAGAATATGGTTCAATATGTATTTGAAGATTGTGATTAAACAATGAAATTAACTTCCAGTGTTCGCCTAAAGGCCTAAAGGCGTAAATGCCCAAGACTGGATAAAGGCAATGGACCCACAACCTGCCCCGCACCCGCATAGGTTTAAACCCGGCCCGCCCCGCACGAAATGGTCCAACTTTGCTCCCTCTAAACCAGATCATCACCATACAATTTGATTCTTTCCAGTCTTAAAAACATCACATAAAGATGACATTACTCCATCCTCACTTCACTCCGACAACACTCATAGAAGGAACAAACAAATGTTCCACACAAATATCACCCCATTAAGATGATCTCTCTCGCACGTTCACCTTTATTATTTTGTCCAATCATTATTTTACCTCCGCAAAAGACCATCACGCCTCCAGCCTAAATATAGGACCTCAACTGCCATAATATTACTGCAAATAATTTAGGATCCGAATATTGTTTACTCGTATTTGGCTTAGCATTAAGAGTGTATGGGTCAAAATCTGCCTCAAAAAAATTTAACACGAAGAGGTATTACAAAAAGTAATCCGGCCGAGGTCGACTAGTACATAATTTTCATAGCCGGGCAGTCAATGATAGCCGAGGTCAAATGTTAGGAGCAATAGTAACGGCTAGTTTTGTAATATGATCTTTTAGGAGAATATTCCATTGAATATTCTCTGTACTTGTATTTTTAGGGTTAATTAGGGGTATGTCCCATATAAATAGAGAGATAAGGTGAAAGATATATAATATTCTCTGATAAGAACACTCTTTGAAAAACAGACTCTCTCTAGATAGAATACAAACGTTACCTTTCTAAAGAGATTCGATTGTCTATTATTCCACACTTTTCCGTCAGATCTGAGAGGGTCCCAATATTATAGTATTTATCTATTATTCATCCTTGTCAGAAGGAAGAATCATCCACCTCATTTAATGTTGAGTGAATTCTTCTCCTCATTTACTTTAATGCCATTTAATGCTATTTGCTCGATATTCCATCATCATTAATCATCTTGAGACATTGAATGCACATCATATTTAATCTCCTCTCAATACTATCCTTTTATTATTTATGACCACCGTTTATAGATCTGAGATTATTGTCATTAACTGGATTTAACCCCTCATTACATTAAATTAATTAGTTTAACCAAGGTTTTATAATTTTTGGTCAAATTATTTGGCACCGTCTATGGGGATTTTCTAGCTAAATTTTTAGTTTCCTTTAGATCTATAACTAGCACGGTTAAAAAAAACACAAAACTCCTACTTCCTTGTACATACAGATTTGACATGGCGGGTAACGAAGAAGAAAGAATGAAGGCAGTAGCCAATCTCGCCACCAACCTATTAAACACCATCAATGCGTTTTCTGAAACGAAAGGCGAAGACATAATGCCTAAGGTCTCTCCCAGGAAAGACGGGTCTCAATGGGTCGCCAATGTGGTCTAGTGAAAAAGAACAACGGAAAGTGGCGGATGTGCTTGGACTTTACAGATTTAAACAAGGCATGCCCCAAAGATTCATTCCCACTGCCTCATATCGACCGGCTCATTGACGCGATGGCCGGACATAAACTGCTGAGCTTTTTAGATGCCTACTCGGGCTACAATCAGATCCTCATGGAAGATGAGGATTAGGAGAAGACTACCTTCATCACCCACCAAGGAACGTACTGCTACAGAGTTATGCCATTCGGACTGAAAAATGCAGGGGCGACATACCAAAGGTTGGTGACCAAAATGTTAAAAGATCAACTCGGCAAGACCATGGAATTTTACATTGAAGATATGTTGGTCAAGTCCAAAAGGAAAGAAGATCACATCGACCACCTGAAAGAAGCTTTCGACATACTCAGACGGTACGACATGAAGCTAAACCTTGAAAAGTGTGCATTCGACATGGCCTCGGGAAAATTCTTAGGCTTCCTAGTATCACAACGAGGCATCGAGGTCGACCCCGACCAAATCAAAGCCATAGAAGGAATACCAGAACACTTAACAAGAAAAAAGAAGGTTTAGAGGCTGACTGGCCGTATCGCCGCCTTGTCGAGATTCATCTCGTGGTCATCCGACAGATGCCACAAGTTTTTCAGCATACTCAAGAAAGACAACAGCCTCCAGTGGACCTCGGAGTGCGTCCAAGCCCTGAAGGAGTTAAAGGCTTACCTATCATCATCATTGTAGCTTTCCAAATTAAAACATAGGGATCACCTCCTCGTCTATCGCCGTATCTGAAGTGGCAGTGAGTGCGGTCCTAGTACGAGAGGATAAAGGTATACAATCTCCAATCTATTACATTAGCAAAACCTTAGTCGACACTAAGACGAGGTACCCCCACCTCGAAAAATTAGCCGTGGCTTTGGTCGTAGCTTCACGAAAGCTTGGACCCTATTTTTAGTGTCACGCCTCAACCTGGGGAGGCATGGCTGGCATCCGATGCCGTACTGACCAGAGGGAACCACTCTATAACTCATTTTTTTCTTCTGCAACTATCATGGGCTATCATAGCCACAACTCGTAATGTATAACTATAAGTGGGAAAACGTTGTATCAAAGAACCATAAAACATGAATACATACGAGCCGTCAAGGCTTTTGCCATTTTGTATAAACTAAACCTCTATCTACAAAGCTTATAAGATTAATTGACATCTAATGGGACAGGGTACCAGCCTACCCATAAGTCTGTAGAAAACTCTGACACGATGACTTATAGACTCTGCTGCACTTCGAATGAGGTAGAGTCTTACCGATCCTTCGCTGAATGCTAACCTCGTCTACTATGAGGGCTTGTCAAACTGATTATCTATACCTGCATGTATGAATGCAGCGTCCCCAACAAAAGAATGTCAGTATGAATAA